CTTTTTCTCCTTAGCCCAGGTAAGATGCGGTTTCTGTTTCAGAAGTGGCTTGGTAGCCCTTTACCTGAAGACATCTGAGCGTGGTGACTCTTAATGCACTGACTCCAGCTTCAGTCCACTCCTTGTAAAGCTCTCCCAAGTGTTTGAATCGGCTTTGCTTGACAGTATTCTCAAGCTTGCGGTCATCCCTGTTGCATGTGCACCTTTTCCTACCCGATTTCATCGTTCCAGTCAACTTTACATTTAATATGCTTTGATACAGCACTCTGTGAACAGCCACCCCTTTCAGTAATGACCTTCTGTAACTTATCCTCTTTGTGAAGGGTGTCAATGATTGTCTTTTGGACCATTGCCAAGTCAGCAGTCTTCCCCATTATTGTGGTTTCAAAGAACAAGAGATACCAGGAATTTATACTGTCGGGATGGTCATTTACTGAAACTCAAATGTAAATATTCTAATATTTTGAGATACTGGATTTTTGACTTTAATAATCTGTAAGCTCTATTCATCAAAATTTAAAAAAAAAAATGCTTTACTTTACATTTAATGAATCTAGAATATGAAAGTTTCACTTTTTGAAATAACTTACACACACAAAAAAAACTTTTTCACGATATTCACATTTTTTTAGATGCACCTGTACAAAGTGTCTTCCAATTGCACACGTTTGCAATTTCCATATTTTGGTTAATGCATTTAGTTTACATGTTTGCAATCAAAGATGTCCCATACACTACTGGCCAATTTTTGTTTTTTGTTTTTAAAAGTCTATTATGCTCACCAAGGCTGCATTTATTTGATCAAAAATACAGTAAAAATAGTAGTAATGTAAAATATTATTACAATTTAAATTCACAAGATTCTTTAGAAATCATTCTAATGTGCTCATTCAAGACACATTTCTTTTTGTTATCAATGTTGAAAACCGTAATTTGGTCTCCCAATTCCTAAAGCATCTCTACATGACGCTCACTATTGGTATAGTTTAGAGCCCGACCGATATATCGTTTTGCCGATATTATCGGCCGATATGAGCCTGTCGCCAATATATTGGTATCGGCGAA